CGACCTCCCAGCCGTGGTTGTATGCAACGACCAGCTCCTTCGCGACCCCCCGGAACACGGCCTTGCCGTCGGTGATGGCAGTCTCCATGGCCTCGATGTTCCTGAAGCATTCCTCGCCGGGCCGAGCCGCGAGGACGTTGCGCCACGCGTCCTCAATGTCCATTACCGCATTGTAGCATTTCTCGATATGCGCGCGCTGTCCGCTGAGAGACTTGTTCGCTTTGCCCTCGCTGGCGCCGAAGTCACATTTGAAATCCTCAAGGGCGACACGGGCCCGCTTCGCCGGTGGACCGTCGACCGCCTGCACGTCAGGCTTCGTGTCCATAAGCTTCTTAATGGTTGTCAGCTGCAGCTTCACGGCGTTCAGCTGGTCCATGGCAGCCAGCTGCTGCTTGTTCAAAATTACGCCCGGGTCAGCGGCGCGACGCTCCTGCGCAGCCTTGACATCTTTATTTTCCTTAAGTGCGACTAGTCGCGCTTTTAGTTCGGTGTACATCGTGTTGTAGCTGACCGAAGTCTCGCTGTCAGAATCGGACATTGTAATTGAGGGCACACTACCACGAAGCGGATCACCAAGGCCTACAGACCAACCGCTTCCCGGCAGCACCCAAACGTAGCTACGAACAACCCGAATTAGCCAACACTGTCGCGTGCCGCGACACAAGAGCCACACTGGCTCGTACGCCATACGGCAAAGACACTCCGTATTCGCAGAAAACCTTAGTTTTCAACGCTTCACGTAGAAAACTGTCAGCTAACTTCAGACAATGCAATATCGCCCGATAACTGTGCAAGCAAGCACAAGTCAGAACCCCGCCCACCCGCCCGTCAATGTGGTGGGGAAAGGGGGGAGGACGAGCCATGAAGTGAGCACCAGGGCTAAGAGGGGCAGCACCAGCAGGAGGCGGAGGCTAGGATTGGGGACCAGAGCCGCGAGGGACACGAGTGGGCCGAGAGGCGTCGGTGTAGCGCTCCAGGACTTGAGGGCTGCGGATCTGGGAGAAGGTGTGGAGCTCCTCGAGGGAGGCGCCGGCGGCCTGCGTGGCCTGGATAATACCACAACGAAACCCATGAGGGGTTTGCCCGACGTAAACACCAGCCTCCTCCAGGTGTTTGCCCACTCGCATGGCCAAAGTGCTGCTGGAAAACGGGCGCTCCACGAAGTGTTGGTGACCCCGGTCAGTGGGATGGAAGAGGTAGTCGGAGATGGCGGACCCTGGGGGGCCATCGGGGGCATGGCACAGCTGCCAATAGAGGGCGAGGGTGCAGATGAAGCAATGTCGCGGAGAAGGGCCGGGGTGCAGTTCCAAACGGGGAGCTCGGTGCCCTTTGGATGTTTTGGTCCCAAGTTGCTCAATCCATAAGGAGAGGGAGGGGTAGGCACCGAACAGGTCTGGTATTTCACAGAAGGGGCCACCATCCTGCGGGTCACAGAAATCATGTAGCCGCAGTTTGCCTGTGTCATGGCCGCGGTAGCTGGTGTGCCACATAAATTGGCAGCACAACATATCGTGTAGCAACAGCAGGCGGGCTAGGGAGGTGGTGGAAGCCTGGAATCCGGGCCAGAGGTGATCCATGAGGGTGGTAAAATCGCGAGGGGTAAGGGGCACGGCAGCTTGCTCCTCGTAGCCACAGTCGGCGGTGAGGCGACTACAGCCAGTCTTGTAGGAGGACAAGGCGCTGGAGCAGCAGGGGTTGCCGATGCCAGTTCCACAGTCGTAAGTGCTGCCGTGGCCCAAGTGGTTAAAACAGTCCGATTGTTGACGGTGTTGGGACTCAGATTGTTCACCCGACAGTTGGGGAGCCAGCAGGCCTCCAAGTAGACGAGCAGGTCGTCATCAGTGCAGGACAGCAGGTTACAGCCATGGGGCAGGGTGGCCAGCCAGGCAGAGAGGTCACAGCCAGCAGCCTCCTGGTGGGCAATGATTTCATGAGCCAACGGGTTGTCGCAGACGGTGGCGACCTTTGTGAGGGTGACGGTATAGATCTGGTGGCTGGAAGGCGGATCCAGTACGGTGGAGGGTACAGAAGTGGGGCTGAGGTGCGCGGCCAGGATCTGGGGCAGGGTACCCCCGGCCCTACCTGTGGTGCTCCACCTTGGCTCGTCATCTTCCTTACTTCCGTCTTTCCTTGTTCCTCGGGGGCCCCACCCCCTCACCCCCTCCGTGGGCCTGATCCCCACTCTGGACTTGTCTCAAGCTCCCGGTTTCTCTGATGCTGCCCACCCGGTAGGCTTGCCCCGCGCCTGGGTCCTGTCTCCTCTCCCTATCACGCCTACCTCACCTATCTTCCTCTGCCATTCAGGCACTGTCGGAGCCTACCCTGCCCCAGATCCTGGCCGCACATGTCAGCCCCACCAGATGCCAGGGGTATGACAGTGCGGTGTTTCCTGTTCTCCATGGCTTCTAGGTGTACAGGTATTGCCCCAGGGCCTTCAGCTCGCAAACTATGATTGTATGGGTAGTTTTACCTGCAGCTAGCCATGTACATGTAATACACACATATGTAAGGTGATTCATAGGTGATTTGATAATAGGTTATGAATTCGCTTATCATGATCATGATGAGTGAATCTGTTGAGTTAATCTGTTAGATTAATCTAAGAGGCCTGTCTCGCATTATTACACCCAGACACATGTCAATGGTTTTCATGAAATTTCATGGTATATTCACTGTTTCGCAATCACTGTGATGTATTACCTATCCGGGAATTATAAGAGCTCCGTCAGGCATTAATTACAGAATGTTTTCATGGCTGATGCATTCTTAATTCATACTTATATGACATACTTACATAAAACCGCTTAATCCCAGTGTAAGAATGATTAAGAATGCACACCCGCCGCCTCCGTATTCTTCAGATGTTCTTATCGTTCTTAAGCATTCTCCTAAGTTTCTTAACCCCCCTCCGTGTTTGTAGGGCATGGCAGTCTATGCGCGTTGCAGCTGTTGCTGGGGGTCTGTGGGGCTGGGTGTGTGCGCTTGGAGGTGCAATTTTAATACTGTTTCCAAAGTACTCTTAGTACTCACCCTCCACATTGGCCTGCTGCTGTAGATTTCCAATCCACTTCTTGCGGTTGTTCCATCTCTCAACCAGGGACTTCCAGACACGTGCGTGTATGTCCTGGTCGGTTGCTTCTGAGTCCAAGTGGAAGCCAGCCACGGTTCTGTCTCGCCCACCCAGCATAACCACAAAGTCCTCAATTTCCTTTTCGGTCTGTAGTCAAGCATGAGCACCCATGAGTATTGAGTGACAGTCTTTCAAAGATGAATAATTCAACCCTGCCCCTAACTTACCACTTCCAAGTAGATCTTGGATGCTGAATTGAAGTCCTTCAGGACTGGATTGAAGAACTTGTACAACTTCTCCAGGATGTACCTCTTGGCACGCTGCACACCCTGTGAAGTCCCACTTCCTGATGCATCCTTGGTGCCATCACGTTCACCGTCGCCCCCATCTCCTTCGTGGCTATCCCAGCTGTTCTTCCTCTTCCGGGGGTTTGGGTTGGCAACCGCCTCAAAGGCTGTCTCAAGCCCATTGATGAAGTTTGGTGGCACCACGTGAACCAACTTGGGCTTGACACTCTCCTTGAACTGTACATTCATTAAGCAGTGCAGTGTTGTACCTCTCAGTAAGGAGAATTTCACATATAAAACGCAGCAGATACACACAACCTCCTCAACAAGTGACTGGAGTGGTTATGTTTAGGGTTTGTAACAACATCACGTTTAGTCTGCAATTTCACTAGTAAAGCAACAGTTTTCTATGCTTACCGTTTTGAGGCTCACCCTGTTGACCTGCTGCTGGTCAAGAAGGTCTCTCTCCCTGAATCCCATTTAGTAGAGGGTGCTGTCCATGGTAGCCTTGGCTGATCCTGGACTGTTAAAAGCCGGCTTGAAATCCGACTTCCATTTATCATATGCTGTGTAGAACAGCTGGAACGGCCTACGGCCGATTTCGAAGCCTATTTTTGCAGCCATATCCCGAACCTCCACTGGAATGCCTTGAAGGCCAGGAAGGTCACCTGGACTAGGTTCAGGAACGTTCTGAATGGCCTCCTTCGATAATGCGAAAGGAATGGGTAGCAAAGAAAGAGGGATTCGTGCTTGACAAGTAAAGCAAGCAAGTTCATCAGGATAATCGGCGGCGCAAAAGGTCACAGCTTTACCATGCGCTCATGTGCTGATTCCAATTCACAGTATTCCTCGGACTCTTCAGTGGTATCAGATCCTGTAATGGCTGTGACCTCTCTCCTACTGTGCCGTGATGAAGGGCGGACAAGGTCGACCGCCGGCTGCACTGCTTGGTCGATCCTTCTACGAAGTCGGCAGGATTTCAATCCAGTGCTTGTAATTTTCTTGGACTGGGGAGGTGAATGCAAAAGACCAAGCTCTGCTAACTTCGTTTCTGGCTATGCATGTAGCACACTCTTCCTCAAGGTCCATCGATGATCGTAATCATATCGCAATATTGCCTATATGAATGACGAATGTAAGCAGGATGTAGTCATTCTGGACTGATGTATGAAGATGTGTACGGCGTGATTGCAAGCGACCTGTACCAAAGATGGGGGCCCTTGTGAAGCAGCTGCCCGCGTTTCCAAAGCACGTATGGTGATGTGGAAGGTGCGGAAGTACGTTGGTGAAATATAATGTGGTAGGACTGGAGAGAATAGTGTAGCAGTATAATGTATTGTGAGTGTAGCTGAAGCTTTCATCGTGGGCGCGTCTCGTTGCAAGCTAAGCAACGCGTATACATGACGTGTAGCATCAGTCCTCAGTTCACTTCTTGTAACGAACATCAGCATAGGTCCAAGCCCTCTCGCTTGGAGGGATATATGCAAACAAACATCCTGATAGGTAAACTCGCATGCTACCGAGCATTCAACCGAGCACATGCATGCTTAGTTGAATGGTGAGATGCGACCCCCCTTCATTTCGTGCTCGGCAAGCCTGCCACCGTGTGCGTTCCGGATATGTTGGCGATGTTACAGAGACGCTGCACCTTGGTTTCTGTGCGCCATGCATAAAACCAAAACCAAAACCGACCAAAACTACACGTGCCCAACTGAAGACACACCGGTGGTTGTGCAGCAGCTCTTGAGGCTTTGTCGGCTGAAATCCATCCTGAGACGCTGCACCTCGGTACCTGTGCGCAATGCGTACGCTGCTTGACCGCGCCGACCAAAAGTACATGTTCCCAGCTGAAGATATGCCCGGTGGTTATTCAGCAGGCTTCGAGCTTGCTGCTGGCTCAATTCCATTCGTAGTTGCTGCAAGACGGCTAACGCAGGCACGGCCGAATGCGCTGCGAAAAGCTGTTCCAAGCCCTCAGCGGCATCCATTTTACTTGCAAGGTTCTGAACGACTTTCGCGATTCTTCTCTTTACCTAATTCCGCGTTGTTATTATTTATTTCGTAAGAGTGTAACTTGAGTTAAGTCGGAACAATGTGCATTATGCGCTGCGCTACCGAAAGCAGGCGCCTTATGGCTGATTCTTCGCCGACCGCTTCATCTTCCGCGGCAGTTTCAAGAGCCCAGAGTTGCAAGCTACGACGTTGGCTTTCAGTGCTTTTATTTACTGCAAAGCATCCACGCAATAGTCCAGCGTGCGGCTATGGCCAACATGCCCACCTGCGCAACGCGCTGGCGCACCTGGTCCTTTTCCGCCAAGAAAATTTATATACCTGTACAGACGCATTTTGCGAATCGCACGCGCGCATCCGCAAGGCAAAATTCGAGAGAAAATTCTTTTGGGACGATGTACGGATTCTCTATTCGCGTAGTACGACCGGACACATTTGTGCGAGAGGCTGCTTAATGAGGCAAACCGTTCATGGATTTCGAGGTGTAATTTATTACAGAAAAGGTTGCCGCATTTGCAAGACTTAGGCATTGTGTGAATGTGGACGGGTCCTGCAGGCCAAGACCCCGAGTGCCTATGCCCCGGAGTGGAAGTTGGCTAACGAATTACTGCGAGGCCAGGAACACCAATTGAGTTAACTATTGCTTGTATTTATAGCTTAAATTCTGCGCAAAGCGCACATACTTTGGTAGAAGGTAACTGCGACGGCCGGACAGAGGTTACGCAATTTCATAAAGCCAACCGAACGGGCTACAGAGACTTCATAGCTAAATCAAAGTTATTGCTTTAACTAGTATAGCAAACAGCTTCACGCGCGGGCACTCTGACGTCGACATGGCCGATGATGATGACAGGACTTCTCGCTTTGTACCCATCCAAAAGCACCGAAAAGCATAGGATTGTTCTGAAATATAGGGTAGGCAAGGCATTGCATGGTCGACTTAAAGGGAGCGCATGTTGCCCCGGCTGCGCTTTATGGGCCTCCAGGAGCCCCAAAACGGTTTGTCTAGGGTCGATACATTGCAGATAGATCATAGGTGCTGGGCTGTCGGTCATAGGTGCACAGCAGCTGGATGGCTTTCAGACTGCCGGTCATGGGAACCCGGGAGGCGTGCTGTTGGTGCAGGGCAAACCAGGGGCTGTCGGGTGACCGGCGGAGATGGATGGGCCACCCCACCTCACCCATGTGTTGTGCACAACATCCAAACAATTATAAAAACCGCATACGACACAACACCTGCCACTGCCCATCCGGGATTCTGGGGGTGCCTCTCCCTAAGTTAAATTACTTAAGGGTTGATGGCTGGTTTGGCATGCCACGTGTTTGTGCGCCTCTTCTGGTTGTGTGTGTGATGACTCTCCTATAAATGTCCAGTCAAACAAACGGGGGAGCCACTGGCTAAATGACTTCAATACGACAGGGACCCTGGGGGATTCGTGTGGGTGTGAATGATGCATATGCTAATATCACTGAGGCCTCCGGCCCCATAAATCTGTGTGGCTGTTTTTTCCTTCGGGGGGTGAAGTAAGGGAGACATGGCGCTCCGTCTCCATCCTTCCTTCATTTCACCCTCCAACCCTCACTCCACCCTCCCTCAATAATCCCTCCACAATACCATTTCCCACTCTTCCTCCACCCTTCCTCCATCATCCCCCCCACTTTCCTCAACGCTCCCTCCCAACATCCTCCCTTCCCCTACCATGTGCCCTCCCTTCTTCCATCCTGTGCCTTCCCCTCTGCTGTCCCCTTCACTCCCTTGGCCTTCCCTCCCTCCGTTCTTTTTTTGGAGTGAATGTGTGTGCCCCACCATCCGTGTGCTCATGTGCCCACGTACAAATGTGTGTATGTATCATGGGTCAGTACGGGACACCTGGGAATTGACACCAGACCCACCCTAACGTGGGTGGCACCTCTGTACTGTTCCAATTCCCGGCCCGCCACGCAATATTTTCCCCCTTCCCCCTTTTGTTTTGCCATCCCCCGACTGCGGCCATGATGATGTTAGAAGGAATGCATCGCCTAGGTTGAGGGGGCCCCTGTCATGCCCTGAAACACGCCCTCCTAACCATTCTGCCCCGCTGCGTTTTCCCCCTTTCCCCCCTCGTTTTGCCATCCCCCGACTGCAGCCATGGTGACATTCGGACACATGCGTCGCAGGCTTGTACGGGAGGGTATACGGTGGGGACCAATCGGGTAGCTACTAAGGGGGCCATGGGGGTTTCACGAGCAGTGACATGCATGGCCAGGGACAGCTATGTCATCATCAGGCAGTGGAATACGGAAATGATTACAAGGCGGATGCTTGGGCCAGCAGCGTATTCACGGCCGCTGGTGTGTACAGCATAGGCCAATATGCATGTGACCCTTTCATGACCGGTGGAGGCATGGACTACCAGCTACATGCTGGGGTGATGACATGGACACTCTTGTTTGGTGGGCGAAACCCTGGAAGGGGTGCACCACGCACAGCTGGTCCCGGGTCACGGCAGTGGATCTCAGGATCGGGGTGTATTGGTGACGTGATCAGCATTGTTGCCAGTGTCTCCGATTGGGGGTGCAGGCACAGACGTGGGCATATCTCACACATCCACAGTGTTTTGGACAGGCGGGCTTTACTAAAATCGTAATTGGATCCGGGGGGAGGGTGATGAACAAGCCAATTGAAGCAGAGGCGTGACAAGCACTGTTGGCTGAACAATTGGTGTTCCTGGCCTCACCGTA